TGTCAACTGAAGATCAGGTTCCACAGCAACTGATATTCAACTGTAACAATATTAACAAGAGTATGTAGCCAGTCTGACTTAACTATGTAACATAACTAAGGCAAAATAACATGTAAAGGTAAGACTTCAGAGATGATCAATGAGCAAAAAAATCTGCACCTCTTTTTGAAACACTCTGATAAATCACTAGAAGAAAAAAACCTGTAAATAGTGCTTCTAGATTTTCTGACTTTGTCCTAATTACTGCGTAAGACCAACACACTGTAACTTCAAAGGCAGCTCTAGACATGTACGTCTATGGTACATCTGAAATTGAATTTTCAATATGAAACAGCAGCGAATTCATCTGCATATTCCTTTAAGTGTATCCAAGTGTATGTCTGGTGATGTGTCTAATTAGTGCAAATTAAAGGTATGTCTATTGTAACTTCAGAAATTAAATGCTAATGTAGTCAAAAGAAAGAACAAGTAAATAAGAATTCAAAACATAAAACTGCAAGTTAATGATAAAATGTATGATCTGTAAAGCTGTACCTAATTTCTTTGTTGATGGCATCTAGCTGTTCTTGAAGCATCATGGCTAATGTCTGGGCATCTGCTTGACCACTAGGTGACAACAAGTCAACGGAGCTGAAAATGGTTTCTCTGTCATCCTCACCATCTGAGAGATCAGCATCACTCTCAAATGCTTGTGCAACATTTGCCAAGACACTTGCTTGCTGAGCACGCTCCCAGTCTTGCTCATTAAGAGTTTGAACCTATTTAACATATATGATCAGTCTTAATTGTAGAGAATTCTTAAATAAAGATCCAGAAAATTAAGTCAATATGACCCCACTTACATGCTGTAGTAGTCCATCAAGACAGCAATATTTAAAATGCAATAAAACCAAAGCAAAAAGTTATAATATTATATTTACAAGAACCTAATGTATTCTACAAAGAAACATAAGATCAGAAATCAAGATATGACACTATATGGATTCTACAGTATAAAAGACCAATAAAAGATCAGTCCCTTATGTGCTATTTTGGTAAGTTTCAAACAAGTGTTTTTTAAAAAAGTATTGTTTCTGTTATTTTTAACTCTCATGCACACATATAGGACATTTTAGTATATTTTGTCCCAGAATTAATATAGAACTAGGTCTACAAAGCAGTTGTTTTATGACATTGTCTCTTCAAGACTTCTAAATAATATCCTCAAGCTCCAGTCACTTGCCGAAAAGATGGATTTTTTTTGCAGGCAAAAAACATTTGAGATTAAAAAACTTATATTGCATGCTGTTACTGTTGATACTGCCATTGCTATTTATGTTTTGCTACTGAGATACTTTCTTGGCCTTGACAATGCAAAGTATTGGGCAAAAAAGAATGTCCTGCAGTTTTTCAGTGAGCTATTTCAAGAAAGAGATATGGAATACCCTGATTGTTTCAGCAGGCTGGCCTCATTCAAGGGACATCAGAATTGTATTCGCGAAGGCTTTCACGGCCGGGATCTAATGGTTGTTGTGGGTTTTTCGGGCTTCTTGGCCGTGTTCTGAAGGTGGTTCTTCCTAACGTTTCGCCAGTCTCTGTGGCCGGCGACATCAGAATTCTCAGTGGACTGAGAAAATTCAAGACCCAACAGCCCTAATCTTCCCCTATCCATACCCAAACCACTAGCATTCAATACACTGGCATTTCCATGAGAGAAAGTAATTAGTGTAGTTTTTTTTAATGCCTGCATAAGGGTTACAAATGGAAAAGGCCTATTCCATAAAGACCATGTACACTGCACCAGATGAAGAATCCTATCTTATTGCAAATAAAATCTGTGCTGCCTGTATGCAATCCATATGCTCCTGCTTGGTTTCTTATACTAGCATGAATAGCTAAATAAATCACTGCTAAGAAATCAGGATCCTGTCTTTCTGCTTTCTTTACAAGCAAGAAGATGGCCCAGTTTACAATTCCTGTTTTATAAAGGGTTGAAAAAGCCATAATTCTAAATTCAGATTACATGCCAAGCAAAGTGTTTCTGGTTCAGCCACTTGTTCTAGCAAGAAATGCTGAGCAAGTGTGAATGAGCCACGTGCATCAGCATGCAGATACTTAACAGCAAGGGAGGATTTGCCAAACATTTAGCTTGCTGCTTTCTGTGAACAAAACTTGTGGGCTCACAAGGGAGTCTGCTTTTGTATTCGCCACATCCACTGTAGCCTCCTATGCTACAGGAGCTACAGGAACTCTCAGCGAGTTGGGACCTTTTGAAACAATGGACATGGGGTGAAAGGAAGCTGCTGGAGGGAGAGAGAGAGAGAGAGAAATCTGCCTAAAAATCTGCCTAAAACTCTTACTTGAGTCTCTTCCATGAACAGAATGAGCAAGTTGATTTAGAACACAGCACTTGCCCTCTCTCCTCCAGGAAGGAGCTTCCATTTCATTACTTGAGTCTCTTCCATGAACAGAATGAGCAAGTTGATTTAGAACACAGCAAATCTGGATCCAATCCCCATCCATGTGCATGTACCCAAATATCAGCTGCCACAATCTTAGTGATCAACTGTGCAGGTGGGTGGCATTCTACATTCAATCTCCTTACCTAGAGTTGACTAATAGTGTCAAGGTGAACAGCTCCACCTGTTTAGAGATGGCACACAGAACCTCAATCCAAGTCTGGGTGCTAGATATAAGTATCCAAGCCACTCTTTCTTCAAAAAATAGATACAAATCTTATTTCCATATAGGGATTAAAGATGAAGGCTCAATTCTATATAGTTCATGTATATCAAGGAACCCCAATGCAAAATAGTAGATCTAAGACTATCATAATAAAATAGAGGAATGTGCACTAGTATCAAAACACGGATTTGGAATTAAGAATTTTAAAACTTCAAAATTTTCAGATATCTATAACTCCATTACAATCATTAGGAATGCAATACAGTCATTATTTCCCTCTTTAAAAATCATAGACAGGCAAAACATTTTTAAAGGATTTCCTTGTGTCCTCTTATACATTTCCAGTGATTGTGCCAAACAAAAAGACTACAGCACCTAGGAATGTAACGGACATTTTATCGAACCCTGAACTGTGGAAACATCAGCAGCATTGGGGAAGCAAAGAACAGATTGCATCAGGAGTGGGTAAATACCCTGGGCAGCACTGGCAGGCAAATAGCCCATGGTAGGTGGGAACCATGCCAACAGCATGAGGCACAGCACAGTGCAGTGAGCGAGCACAAACTTGGAGTAGCAATTGGAAGAATGAAAGAGGCAGAAGGATGGGGCAATAGAATGAAGCATGGCATGCCTGGTCTGTGAGAAGTCTCTTAAAGGGCACTTCAGAAATAGTGGGTTGATCTTAAGAAAAATACCATATTTTTCCATGTATAATACGCCCCCACGTATAAAACACCCCCTTCACTTTTCTAACCCAGAATTTCTTTCTTCACAAGAAAGTAGAGAGGGAAGACAGGGATCAAAGTGCTTTGAATCCTGCATTCCCTCCACTCTCTTGCGAAGAAAGTGCTTTCCGCTTCTACTTTCTTTGGAAGAAAGTGGAGGGGGAAAGCAGGAATCATCAAAGCAATTCATCAAAACAATTCCTGCTTTCCCCCTCCAGAAGAAAGTGGAGAAAGCACTTTCTTTGCTAGAAAGTGGAGGGGGAAAGCAGGAATCAAAGCACTTTGATGACTCCTGCTTTCCCCTCTCCACTTACCTTGCAAGAAAGTGCTTTCCCCCTCCACCTCTCTCCTTACTTCTGTGTATAATATGATCCTAAATTTTTAATCTAAATATTTTAGAGAAAAGTATTGTCTTATACATGGAAAAATATGGTAAGTTTTTCTACAGATCCAGTTTCCAGATGTGAATGATATGGACTGACAATGTTCAATGTTTCCTATCTGAGAGAACATTCTGTCACTGGGCACACTAGTTGGTGGGCAAGACAGCAGTCACACTGCCACCCTGGCCAGACCTCCCCAGACTCCTCCTCAGCCCAGTAAGACAAGGGATCAATATCTTTTAGCTAATAGGGCTCCTGCATGTCCACTTTTGCCTCTGCCATGTACTTCCTTTGAGGTAACTGCCTCTGGCCCCTGCCAGTTTCCCAGAAAGCTTGCCCTTTGTTGCAGGGCTCAGGGACTTTAACTCTAGAATGTAACTGCTGCTACTATTCTTTGGGGTGCTATTTACCTTGCTAGTTTCTTCCTGTTCTGTGTGACCTCTAAGTGTTAGATGGATCTTCTTTACTAACTGTAGCTATGCCTACTTTTCAATTGGAAAGAACCCTTGAAAAACACCTTCTGATTTCTCATCATGTACAGGTCTTGCTCTCACCCTGGCTCTTGGGAAGCCCATGGCAATCATGAGACACTGAATTCTCTGTCCCCACTACCCTTGGTGCCACAGTATCTTTAAGTTTATCACCCCAAGAAATCAATCTAGGATGTCTGATAAATACATTTCGCATTTATTTCTTCTCCTAGAAAGCAGAAATCTAGCCTTTACTTTTTAATTTATTGGTGAATTCTGAATATTTCCACACCTAAATGTACATCCCCGATTTAAAATGTTTCAGAGATCAAACAGTTCCATATAGCACTGTTCCATGTTACAAGCTGAAAAATACACACATTTTAAAGAGGGAAATAAAAGAAGTACTCTAGAAAACATTACTTTTATAAGATACAATACTAAGAGTGTTTTGATAATGCAAAGAACATATTCAACATTGCATTTTAAGACAGAACCTAAAAAGAAGAGTTTTATAGCATGCTTCTCTGACAGATTTTTAAAATGTTCTCTTACCTTTGAAGGTTCATCCCGGAGAGCTGCTAAACGTCCTTTCTGTGGACGTCTTAAAACTGAGGTGGAATAAGAATCAGTTTGACTGTCAGCCATAGTTGCCCGTGGATATCCAAAATCTGGTACACTACCCATGTGCGATCGACTGAAATAAGAGCAAACACCATATTTAGTAAAAGACACTCTTACTATTGAGACAATGCTACTAAGTACTACTCTATAACTGAGCACAAAACCACCATTAATGACTTACATACCTATGATGAAGAGAAGGGCCCCTGATCCTCATCTGATCATTTTCAGTCCTCAGTGCTTCAATATTTAGTACCAGCTGATCCTACAAAGCAAAAAAAAAAAAAAAAAAAAAGACAACAACAATTTCAAATAAATTCATTTTACTATTTCATGCTTTTCTGAACATAACTATACCTATCTGATGAGTTTTAAAAAAATTTACAGTTTTAAATTCCATGTTCTGATAACCCACATGAACAAATGTTTAAAAACATAATTGGCTCCATTGAATAATTTTCACCTGCTTATTAGTTTTTAAATGATTCTGTATAATTTAGTATCCTATTTCAATGGGCTTGTTGCATTTTTTAAAAAGAAATTGGCAGTTAATCTCCATTCTCAACAGCATTGGTAGCTTTATAGTACAGAAAAAATGCATGCTTTCTGGGAATGATTACATTTAAAAGCAAAAAACAAACACACACACACACACACACACACACACACACACACAAGCAAAAACATGATTTTTCATTTATCACTCTGGAGTGCTGCAACATGGATGGTGTAAAACTCGGTGGCATAGTAAGTCTTTGAACATAAAATAAGAAAAACCTTTTCAACTAATTGCTCATAACAGAAGAAGAAAAATGTTCAAAGCATGCTTTAAAAAAAAAACAACAACAGTAATAATTATTCAAATTACAAAAATAAAATAAAATACTTCTCACATCTGAATGTATAATTTACAAGACAAATGTGGCATAGAACAAAACAGTACATTTCTTTTTCCGCAGATACCTTTTCATTCTGAAATTCTTCTACTTGTTTCTTAGCATGTTCAACTTCATGAAGAAGAGCATTCTTAAAAAAAGAATTCAGTTCAGTTCATTAGTAAGGCACACCACCAGTCCTTAACATCTTTAATTCTGAAACATTACTGCAAGTTATAAACATCAGCTACATTTTCACAAAAGTTACTTCCTTTACATTAATCCAATGTTTGTCTTTTCAGTTCTAGCTAGAATATCCACTTTACTTAAACTTTCTGTATTTTTAAGCATGACCAAGTAATTTGTCCATTCATCACTTGATCCCAGAGTGGTATACACCAATGGAATATGAAGTATATTAGATAAGTAACAGAAATATATGTCTATGAAAGGGAGAATCCAAAATAACCAAACACAATCCACTGTTGAATATAACAGCACTTCTGTACACTATATATATTCACCATTTATTGCTTTCCTAATAGTTCTCTCTTCATGAAGAGTTGGGTAAATGTCAATTAAAATATGAGTCAATAAATGTGTAAAAAGTGTTACTAAATCTGCTTTTGTATTTCAAGCAACTATCAAAACATTCATAATTACTTTTTCTTCCAAGGCCGCCATTCTTTCTTTAAGATGAAGCTGTAGTCTTTCATTTGATTCAGACAAAAGTTTATCAACGGTTTCAGATAAACGTTTATTATGCTCTTCATTCATCTTCTCTCTTTGTCGAGCCTAAATTTTGAGTCAGGCAGGGGAGACACAGTGAGAAATATCAATATGTTAGCAGAAGAATTACTTTCCCAACACTTAACATGTGGAAAAAGATTCTCCCAAAAGCTAAATTCAGTTATAGGCAGTTTAACTTCACATGCAAGGTAATACTTTACTTCCTGCTAACCTAACATTTCATTCAATTTGCAATTGTGTTGACGGGTAGTCAGGGGGAGGGGGTAGAATAAGACATTAGTCATCACTGTTTAACATACCCTTAGCAATTCCTGATTTTTCTCTTCCAGTTGTGCTTCCATCTGCCTCAATCGTTCTTCAATGTTACCATGTCTTTCTTCGGCCTGTTATTTTAAAATTAGATGGGTAGTTACAATTCCAAAATTTCAGGAAAGGCTATTAGCAAACAAGCATATAATGCTCTGTGCAGACTGCTGTTTTTGTTCAAACGTGACAAGATGTTTATTGTCAATTTCCAGCAAAACACATTGATGGACTCATGTATCAAATGAGAACTAACATGTCCACTCCAAGATATCAAGCTTTGATGACTGCACATTTCAAGGAGGAAAAAAAGGAGACTTTCTGTTAACTCCTCTTATAGGAACAGAAAATAATTTTTTTTCTATATTCTTTTCCACACTCTTTTTGAAGTATTTTTCTTTAAGCAAGTAGCATTAAGCAAAAATATGGATTACCATCCTTTATGTAAGTTCTACCTTCCAAATCCTGGAAGTAAGTTCCAAAACTTTAGCACCTGTAGCTGCAGAATTCCCAGAAGGGAGTTAGGCTACAAAAGGAAGTAAGGAACAGGAAAGGGGTGTGTGTGCCGGGGGGCGGGGGAGGGAATAAAAAGGCAGCCAAGAACCCATTTGAGAATATTAAGACATAATAGTGCTGGAGGATATAATTTAATACTAACTAGCAGTATTTCATAATACCCAAGTGCTGTCATGAGAGTAGTTCATGCAAGTTCCAAACAATATAAAAAAGCCGCTCAGAGTGGTACTGACCTACCAACCAAGTGCTGTCATGAGAGTAGTTCATTCAAGTTCCAAGCAATATAAAAAATCCAAATAGTTATGTTAGAGAGCTATAGTGCTGCATAAATATACAATACTATGTCAGGCCTTTTGCTGGTTGAACAGGGAATAAAATCAGAATATTACGAAGAACTGAATCTTTGAGAACAAATGCTTTCAGCTTAAGAGTAATACTGCAAAATTAAGACCTACCTTAGTAAGGGCTGCAACTCTCTGAGCTAGTTCAGCCTCCACTTCTGGCAAAGTCTCAGCTTTTCTTAGAGTCTGTTGTAATTTCTGCTCAGCTAGTTCCAGACGTTCCTGTAACTGCCTATTTTTATCTTCACTCTAAAAGCAAGAATATAAGGGCCACTTTCAATAATTTTTTCTGGACAAATGAGTGATCTTATGAACAAATTAATGTTGAAATCACAGGAAACAGTTTTATGAGTTTTAGATACTATGAAAGTTATTTCACATGCAATGCTGCAGATTATTTTCATGAGTAAAATACACACACACATGTTATTTGAACCTCAAGTTTAGAAGTTGTTTCTCTTAACAATTTCTATTGGCAGGGGGAGAGATGATGTGTCACCAAAAATTAACAACTTCTATTGGCGGGGAGAAGAGATGGTGTGTCACCAAAATTTAGAGATCAATCTGAAAATTTAAAATATGCTGTTCATATGTTGTAAGCTGTCATTCTAATCATGGTCAGATATGTACTAAACCTTTAAATTAGTTACTACACAATTGTAATTGTATCATCTCCAAAATAAATATTTGGTCTACTCTGTAACATACAGAAATGCAAGTTAACTTGCAGTAGACCAAGCTATACCTATCACGATCTATATCCAAAGATCTTGAGGAAAAAAAGTCAATATAGAGTTGATTTTCATTGGAGTCAATACATAACCACAGATTACAAGGTATTACCATAGACTGAGAAAGTTTTAAGGCTTTGTTTAGCAGCATTTTCTACCTGTCGATACAATGAATCTTTATTAGCAATTTCGTTTTCAAGTTTATCATTGAGGTCATGCACAGATGTAGCTTCACGTTGTGCAGCGAGGTAGCGTTTTTCAAGGGTTGTGATCCGCTCTTCCATATCTTCCTTCTGAGCCATTGCCTGAGTGATGAAAATTAGCAAGAGAGAAAAAAATAATCCACAGCTCTTATGTATTAATGTATTAATAGGCGATCTTAGAATTGGATACAAAAAGATAAAAGAATTATTACAATACTCATTTAAAATTCCATTTGCAATGACTGCAGCTTCCTTTTAATTCATAAGCAATATTTTATTCATTTAATTTATACCCTATTTTTACACAAACGGATGTTTATGGAGGATCATCGTAAAACAAAATCTTAAATAAAAAAATCCCAAATAAATAAAAACAAAAAACACAATTATGAAGTTCATAACCACTGCTAACACATTCAGGCATGATTCAAAGCAGCCCAACTTGCATAATGAATGCCCTTTCAAATAAACAAGATTTTTGCCTGCCAACAGAAGCAGAACAGGGAAAAAGCAAATCTCATTTTCCTCTACAGGAAACTCCACTCTAGTAAGACCTACCAAGAAGGTGAAGACTATTCAGGCATGCCACCAATGGTGGCAACACTGAAAGAAGAGCCTCCCTACAAAGATCTCAAAACTGTCCCTGGCTTGTAAAACAGAATGTGGGCTTTTTACTAGCCTTGCTCCAAGTCACAAGGCTTCACAGTCCATATCCAGCACTTCACACTATGCCTCCAAACTGTGGAGGTGCCATAACAAGGAAGCTGCATGCTCCTTGTGAAGTGCGTTTTCCATATAATTCTGAACTGGAATTTTCCAAAAAACTTCCCATGCCACAAATAATATGCATAAGTACAGTTATTTCACTTACATTTACTAAACAAATATTTTTAACATCTCAAGTATCCATAAGAATTTGAACTGAAATGCAGAGTTCCAATTAAAAGTGGAGAGACATGGGTGAAATCTCCACTAAGACTCAGACAGTACCTTCTCTCAGAATTACTCCCTTCCTAGTGATGCTTAATATATCTACTTTCTGAATCCAAAAATTTATCAGTCATAACTAGAGAGCCAGGGTAATATAATGGTTAGAGACTCATAAAGTTATTTAAAAAAACCAAACCCACAGCTCAAGAAAAATAAGTGTTCACTCAAAGTGAAAGAAGATTCACCACAATTTTTTGTTTTGGTGTTTATTTGCTCCGCACTCCTAAAAGATGAATTCATAAGTCTATGATTATTTGGATTATTATGCATATTTGTGGATCCTTTTTCACCCCCTCTAATAGATGTGAACTCTTGCACACACTTTCTAGGGCAAATGACCTGAAAAATAATTGGAATCTTGTTGAGCCCGTGCAGTGGGAATGACAGCAATAACAGCAGGAAATTGCTGCTGATTAAAGGCTTCCTTTGGCGATTCTGGGGCACATGTGACTTTGTCACATTGTACACAAATTGTCTGCACCGGAAAATCACTGAAGAAAGCCTTTAATCAGTGACACTTTCCCACTACTGATGACATTAATTCCGTTTTGGAGGTAAAGCTTTGCAACATGACTTCAGCCATTGATTTCATAGCAGCTACAACACAACTGGTTTGTGTTTTGACTTAGTCATATTTTAAGATTATAAGAATGACTGTTTACTATGCTGAACTGCCAACCTGGCTCTATGGAGTGCTGGCTCCCAATCTAATGAATGGAGGAATGAATCCTACAAAACAGTGACTTTTTAAAAAACAGAAAATCTTCATTTTCTGCACATCACTACATACTCCCTGTAACCCACACCAAAAATTATCTGGCTGCATTATTTTTCTGAACAATTTTCAAGGGCATGTTACTGCAGTCTCCATGGGTATAATTGTGGCACTAGCCTTGTACTAGCCTCACTGCCAAATGACACTTCTGACCACCACTGAAATCTGGGCATCCAGCCTTAACACAGAATCCAGGCAAGCAAAGTAAACAATGAGATCTAAAGTCAGACTAAAAGACATCTAGATAATCTGCCTCACACAGAAACTTACGCAGCCAAAACATTACCCTCTCAAAGTTTTTACCTAAACATGCAGTATTAGCTGGACACAATCTAATATGGTGAGACAGGAAAAGGTTGCTTTTAAAACCATTACTGTCTCCTTTTAGGCAAGATGGAATCATATTCACCACTACTTTTACTCAATCAACAATTCCCCTCCTCCACCCTCTTCAACAAACCAAGTAGAGGCAAAGGTCCAGCACACACGTTAGGCTGATATCTCCAAGAACTCTATCCATATCCTTCAGCAGCATAATTTAGGAAAGTATCCTTCAGAACTGGGCAAGGAGTAAAATTTACATCCGTTAAGCCTGCATCAACAGTGTCAATCCAAGTTAAGAAGAACAGGGACTTTTATTTGCAAACCATGATGCAAATTGGTCACAGTGGGCTACTGAATTGTTATTGCCTTCTTGGGGATCAGAAGGTAATAAATCAGTTTCATGCCAACACTATGCTATCTACCATCCCATTGGTTGATTGCTATTAGGTCCCTAGAAAACCAATGAGTTCATCTGGCTGTATTCAATGAGATAGTATACTCATGAGTGATTATGTCCTGACAGAATGCACATGGTCAACTATTCAGTGATATATTATTGTTCTCAAGACATGTAATATTAGGATCTGCAAAATGCTCAGATCAGCAAAATGTGCTTTTGATACCATAGGAGTTTCACAAGTAGTTGTGATAAGAACTGTGTGTTAACTATTCAAAGAAAAGCAGTCAGAAATCTCATTGGATCAGCCTCTTGTCTAATTCCACATAACATTTATAGATAGCTACTATCAAAGTGAGAGAGTGATGCAGTGAATAGAATCTCAGGAGATCTGGGTTCAAATTCAGCTGTGGAAACTCACTACAGGGTAGCACTGGAAAACTACTCCTTAAACATCTCATATACCCTGTTTCTCCCCCCCCAATAAGACCTAACCTGAAAATAAGCCCTAGTAAAATTTTTCAGGATGCTTGTAATATAAGCCCTACCTTAAAAATAAGCCCCAGTTAAATGAAACCCCACCCTCCACCATTGTGCAGCAGATGAAGATGACATGACTGTATTTGAATAAATGTACATTGTTGTAAATGAAAAAAAATCCCCCGAAATTATGCCCTAATGCATTTATTGGATCAAAAATTAATATAAGACCCTGTCTTATTTTCCGAAACATAGTACCTTGAAATCCTTATTCAGGTCACCACAAATCAGATGCAACTTGATGGCACTTAATACACAGTAGCAAAGGTCGTACTAGGGTAATCTGAGCCCTTTTTCTATTAAAAGAAGAAGGAAGCTAATAAAAGTCATCGGTGAAGCTAATAAAAGTCATCGGACTTGAAAAACAGAATTATTACATTAAAAAACAAACTTAAAGGAACAAGTAGTAGTCAAACCAAGATTCATACCTCCCGTACATCTCTTTGCAGCTTTGTATTCATTTCTTCAGATTTTATTAGATCTTTTCTAGCAGTGTCAAGATCTTCTTCTAGTTCTGTTACTCTGCTGGAAAGGGCAGTGATTCGTTCTTTCATCTGCGCCTGCTCTTTAGTTTGCTTTTCTATGATGTCTTGAAGTTCCATTACTTTAGCAAGGTCTTCATCATGACTCAGAGAGCCATTAGAAGATCTCTATTTAGGGGGAAAAAGTGTTGACTATGAACTAACTTTTTCAAGCAAAGCCAACAACAGTCAAGTGAAGAGAAAGTCACATGTAAGGTTCTGATCATTTCTAGGAAGAAAAGTTTGAATCTAAATTGAATATCTGACTTTAATTTCTAGAGATTGAAAAAACAAGTAAATCAAACTGTTTCATATTTATGAAATTAAGGAATTTTCTTCACTGGAACAGCAGATGATTTTGATCAGATGACTGAGGAAATAGCACATTAAAATGAATGTACTGTACAACTTCCTTCCCTTATTACACGTTTCTTCACTTCAGGCAAAATCCAAAAATCCAAAGAAACAAAAGAAAACAAAAGACAAAAACATGTGGCACTTTAAAGACTATTATATTTTATGTGAGCTTTCACTGACAAATCCATTTTGTCACATATGTGGAATAAAAATGAAATACTGGATGAAACACAAGTAAAACATACTAAATATTCATTGGCCCCAACAGTCTTAGGTATTTGGTTACATCTCACAGTCAGAAAACAGATGATAGGCACGAGCAAAAGGGAGAAGAGGTCGGGGTGAAGACTGTTCCAAACATTCTTCCTAAGCATATCAAACCTTTACCAGGTGCAGGTTTCTTCCACCAAATGTTAAGTGGATAGGTCTTATGACATTAGGTTTTTGTACCTACCTTTCCATTAGTGCTAGGAGGATTCTCCTGATCATGATTAATATCAGGCATTCCATCAGCTTGCGTTCTTTTCTGATTGTTCTGTTCTTTCAAAATCATTAACTGGAAAAAAAAAATTAAATGTTACACAAATGATCATAATAAAGGATAATAATTTTGAAATTTAAAAAGGAGCCTTTAAAAAAAGTTAGTATCTAAAATGTAGTTGTCCTAAGTTATCACATGTACAGTTGATGGCATTACCCCCATCAGCTATCTTTTAGAAATTAAACATTTCCAGTTTCTCATTATGAAGGTCACAACGCTCCCATGGAATCCCTTTTGTCATCTGGAAGATGCTAAGAGCCACAAGACAGCAGTTTTTAATTACCATAAAACAGAGCCACAACTATGACTCTACAGGTGGTGGCCATTTTTGGTAATTAATGGCTTGCCTCTCCCATCTCATAGCCTCCAACAGTTTCCCAATGATGAAAGTGATTACTCAGGAGCTTTGGGACCTTTGGGGAAGAAACTGGAAATGTATAATTTCTGAAACATTTATACAAATAAATGCAGGAGCAGGTGATACTTTTATTAGATCACTTTTTAAAAAATCAAGCAAACAGACAGCTAGCTTTCAATGTTCCTGCATTCTCCTGCATTGTATTGTTTTGGAGATCACATAGCCTTTTTCTGATTTTTGCCAAAAAATTTATGTTGCTGATAACGTCATCAACCTTATATGGCATAACATATGCAACGGCATTTCAGCCAATTGTTTATTAGCAAATGGAGCTGTTCTTAAGTTGGATTGTTCTTAAGTAGAGACGTTCTTAAGTAGAGACCCCACTGTATGGCATAACATATGCAACGGCATTTCAGCCAATTGTTTAAATGAGCTATTCTCAATGAGTGTCACCATGGCACATTTGAAGGGAGCCACAGGCTGAAAACAATTATTTATCCACCACCTTATAAGGTTCGTTATATGACTTGTTTGAGGCTGTCATTTCATAAGTAAACATACTTGAATCAACTATGAGTAAAATACAAGTTCCTAGGAACAACTTAAATATGTTTAGTGACACATTTGCTCCTAAAAAAACACTTCCAATTTAAAAAGAACCTCAACAAAATCTCCACAAAATCAAGAAGACATTCAACACTAACAAACTAATTTTTGTTTAAAGAAAATTACCTACCTCCTTGTGTGTAGTACCTAGTTCTTCCTCCAACAAACTACATCTTTCAAGTGCTACTCGTAATCTTTCTCTCACCTATAAGATAAAGGCAAAGCATAAAAATCTAGGCATTCTACTAGCACTAGTGAATTTGAAGTTTTAGGAAATTTGAGCTGTCATTTTGATATATTTCTGACAATAAATGGGAAATTCCTTATTCTTAAAAAAAGACTCACCAATATATTTCAGGACCTACTTAAAATTAGTAGTCTAGTGAGGAGCCAGGTGCATTTATAGTTGTATTTTCTGGCAACAAAATCTGGATCAGATGAGGATAAGAGCATAGCACAAGATACTGCATAAAAATGTGGACTGATGACCCTGGATCCAATGAAACTTAACTGAAAGTAGGAATCACTTCCATAACTTGCACAAACACAATGCTCTGAACTACAAATACTGTTCTAAGACCTCCCCTGATGTTCAGAATATTTACTGGGAGACACACAAATAACCACATCTGAAAGAAATATGTAGTAGCCATGGGCAAATTTCAAACTCATGCTTGTTAGGAACACAATATCTATGCGTCCCTGCATTGCCAAAGCGCTTGTTTAAAGAATGTTTGGGCAAAGTGTGACCTACAGGCTGCCTTGCAGCCTCAAGAGCACAGCCATGAACTCCCACGGGCTCAATACCCACGTTTTCAAAACATAACCATGTTCTATCCATTGTCCTTCAGTCTTTTGTTTCTGGAAGGACTGTCCCTTGGTTTGGCTCTCTAGAAACATGCAACAGTTATATACTTTAAGCCATGGACAGGTAACTTCCAAGAGGTCTGACAGTCATACCCATTCTACATGCTTCTCACCTTACCACATTTTTTCCCTTTTTAAAAAAAGGCTTCTTTTACTCTTATGGCCAATTGTGTATTTTTTTGTTTGTTTGTTTTGTCTTCCCTGACTTGTCTTACATAGGCCTTTTTTAAAAAAACTGAAATTTATCTCCAATAGTATCTGGTATTGGGGGAAAGCTCCTATATGTCTACAACAGGCCAGGGGGCAAAACCTACCACCACACTCCATTTGAGGGCCAAAGGGGACTTTCTATGTTTTAAACACATCAGAAGAGCATTAGAGACAATGTTCAGCAGATGTACTGCCTCCAGATGCCTGGAAATTGCTTGCCCTGGCTTTAATTATGAATAAATTGCACAATTATAGTCAAACTGAAAATACACTTAAAGAAAGTTGCTTAATGAAAACTAAATTTTGAAAACTTTTCAGAAGTTTCTCTAGATACAGAAAACAAGTTCACAACTCAGCCAATGATACAACAGGCTTCCACTGAAGCCAATACGACTTAAAATTCCAGAAATTTGGACTTCATCTTAGATGTCCATGTTACTGTTAGTATAAATGTTCCTAGCACGTAGCTTATGTCATAGTGCTTCAAATCAAGTATCAGTTCTCCCCCGAAATTTGTATCCTTTACAGAAAAACAGGACAAAATTCAGAATGACTGAATAAACAGTGTAGACTAAGCTTTTAAAGGTTATTAAATATAGCTGTGAAAATGTACTGATATTATAATCAGGAGTCATTTTAAGATTAACATTTTAAAGCTACTGGATAAAGTTAATAAAATCTGTTTTTAAAAGTACCACTAAGAAGGAGTTAGGCTTTGTTCTATTAATGTTTTAATTTTTTGTTACATTTTATATGTGGTTATATATGTTGGTAGCCACCTAGAGTGGTCTTTCGACTAGATAGGCAGGGTATAAATGCAATAAATAAATAAATAGGCAGGAGTGTTCCCAAATGTGTTTCCACTCAGACCTCATTCACCTCTTTACATTAAAGTGAGCACTAACAGAAAGAGGTAGGATGAGTAATTTTCACTCATTTCCTCTCTGGAACCCTCTGCACTAACTCTATAGAATTCCCCTAAGCATCCACAGATGTTTTCTATTACTCAGAAAGTGAAAAAGTTCTGGTAAAAAATGGTTATTGTGGGTTTTTCGGGCTCTTTGGCCGTGTGCTAAAGGTTGTTCTTCCTAACGTTTCGCCAGTCTCTGTGGCCAGCATCTTCAGAGGACTGGCGAAACGTTAGGAAAAACAACCTTCAGAACATGGCCAAAGAGCCCGAAAAACCCACAATAACCATTTTTTACCAGAACTTTTTCACTTTCTGAGTAATAGAAAACATCTGTGGATGCTTAGGGGAATTCTATTGGAAGATTTTACTGGATCCAAATCTTTCTGAATTGGATCCTCACATGTCACTTGTGGAAGAATCCTCCCTACAGTTCCATTAAAGGGATATTACTGTCCATAAAAAGGAGGGAAAATGTATTTTCAACTTCTGTCTTTGTAACTTCTACCTTTGTATTTTTAATTTTTACCTTTGTAATTTTTAACTTTAGCCCTTTGTAATTTGTCAAATCTGCTCCATAGGATTGGGGGATTCTCTGAGACAGTGAGGATTATGGCACAATGGCCTATTGAGAAAAACTACACCTACCTCCTTCCTCTCCAGCAGATGTTTCCACTAGATCAGAGTCCCTTCCATAGCGGGGAAAAAACATTTTCATCCACCAAAAACAAGACAAAAAACCCCCAGGATCCAACCTATTGCTTTTAATGTGTCCTGCTTTTACCTTAATCCACATTATATGCAGCCTATGTATATGGACAGAACACGCAGGGCAGGTTTCACTAAAAGAATCCTTCCCTAAAATGACAATTCTGGGAAAAAGCTTCCTCTGTCTTGCATGACATGCCTCCAGCAGACTTTGGTTCCAATAGTCTGTTGTCCTTTCTTTTGACCTATTTCCCATCTGTGGGAACTGCAATGTAGACCTCCCCTCAGAAGCACAATAGAGTTTCTTCCCTTTTACAACAATGTGTATAAATGAAGAGCAAGTAATGTGAAAATTTCTTTTCCACCTCCAGATATTTAAATAGCCAATGCCCAACAGAGGAAAGGAAAGAAAGAGGATCTAATTGGATAAAGAAGAAAAGAGGCCAAGAAGTGAAAACAGCTTAGCCCTAACTGGATGTGGGTGTGTCCGCTTCTTTCCCACCTCCAGGTATTTAAACAGTCAAGACCGCCCAGAGGCAGTGACTCCGTGTTGCGCAAAGTATGCACTTAGCATTATATGTCAAGAGAAGTGGGTGCTGAGTCCAGAGCCTCCTGGGGGACCCTTGCTATAACTTTTTTGAATTTACCATGGGACTTCGTTCTTTTCACTACAGCAACAGAACATTTTAGGAGGCAACAGTGAAGTGTTCTACCAGGTGGTATTCATAGCCAGGAGGAAGATTAAGAAACAAAAAATGAGAAACTTGAGTGATGAAAGAAACCAAGGCTGAAGAGGTGATCCTATTAGTATTGACCCTCTTCAAGACAGCTACTGTACAGCAGTGTTAGATGAAAGATGTCAGCAAAGGAAGCTAAAACACTGACACTTTAATTTCTGTTAACACTGTGCAGTAGGTGGCAATGGTAAACTTCTGCTAAACTTTTCTTACCATGAAAACCCTATGATGAGATAGTCCAAAATGAAACAAGAGATAGGGTCAGAGGAATAGACTAGGTTCGAAAGCACTCAAGCAGCTACTAGGGAAGAAAAAAAAGAAAATCTGAAGCTCTACAACACATACAGTTGGAAAATGGAATGTGGGAAGTATGACTCAAGATAAACCGTAAAGCAAGAAATGGAGCATATAAACATTACAGTGCTTGGTGTCAGTGAATTAAAGTGGACTGGAACAAGATTATTTTCAGTCAAATACCTACAAAGTGTTCTACTCTGGAAATGACAAACTCAGAAGAAATGAAGTAGGTCTAATACTGAGACACAGGCAGTGTTACAGCTGACTGGTTAAACATCAATCAGAATCTGCAGAAAACATATGAAACTAACAACCATTCAAGTCTATGCTACAACTCCTAATGCTGAAGAAGATGAAATTGAAAGCTTTTAAGAAAATGACAAAGAGGAAATCAATCACACATCAAAAGAAGATAAGCTTATAATTATAGGTGATTAGAACGCAAAATAATGAAACAACGCAGAACCAAATGTTGGAAAATTTGGCCGATGGAACAGAAATGAAGTAAAATAATGACCCATAGAATTCTGTGATGTCAACAATCAGTTTGTTGAAAATACATGCATCAAGCTACCAAACAGACATTGACATCAGTAGATGGTCAATATAGAAACCAAACAGAATTGGAAGCAAGAGATGGAGAAGCTGCATTTTCTATGCCAAATAAGACTATGAGTAGATTGTTGTACTGATAATTAACTGTTAATATCCAACATTATATATTATATAATCTAAGCAACATTCTGATGAATGTCCACATAAATCACGACTAGAAAGCACTACACAACTTTGATATGGACAATGAAATTGAAACATTTAACAGATTTTGTACATCTTAGTTCAATTATTAATCCAAATGAAGAATGCATCAAAGAAATCAGAGGAAGACTCAGAAGGACAACAATGAAGAAATTAGAAAAAATCCCGAAGTGTAAAGATGTGTCACTGGAGATGAAGACCAAGATCATCCACACTCTTTTATTTCCAATCACCATGTACAGGAGTGAAAGCTAGACAGCAAAGAAAGGTGACAGGAAAAAATCTGATTAATTTGAAATGTGATGTTGTAGGAAAGCGCAGATAACCTGGACTGCCAGAAAGACAAACAAGTGGGTCCTAGGTGAATGAAGTGTAAAGATGCGTCACTGGAGATAAAGACCAAGATCATCCACACTCTTTTATTTCCAATCACCATGTACAGGAGTGAAAGCTAGACAGCAAAGAAAGGTGACAGGAAAAAATCTGATTAATTTGAAATGTGATGTTGTAGGAAAGCGCAGATAACCTGGACTGCCAGAAAGACAAACAAGTGGGTCCTAGGTGAAATCAAGCCCAAACTATCTCTGGAAACAAAACTGTTGAAATGGAGGCTGTGTTACTTTGGGCACATTGTGAGAAGGCAGGATTCTCTGGAAAAGTCAATAATGCTGGGAAGGGTGGAAGGCAGCAGAAAAAAGGAAGAACAAATATGAGATGAAGTGACTTATTAAAGAAAGCCACAGGCTTGAACCTACAAAAGCTAATCAGGGTTGTTGAGGACAGGATATTTTGGAGATTGCTCATTCATACAGTCACTTTAAGTCAGAGGCAACTTTACGGCACATAACAACAATACAAAAATAAGAGAATAAGCGAATAGCAGGAAGCAAAAGCAGAAAGAATGGAAAAAAACTGAATCTAAAAGAGAATGCACAGTTGAACTAAATGGATTAAAATGGAACAGAAGGCACAATATTAAATAACCTCCTTTTTCCTGTTTTTAGTGGAGGTAGTTGAACTGTCAATCTTCTGCTCAATGAAGCTAAAATATTTTTTTTTCATTTTTTTCCAGCTTGCTTTCATAAATCCAGGCAAGCACATAATTAACAATGTCTCTGTTGTAATATACAAAGATAACCAAAAATATGTTTTTCTTATATCAAGAAAAACAAGTCTAAGTAGTCTGTACGGATCAGTTTGCTTTTCCCTTTGCATGAACAATCTAAATATGAATAATTCTTGATTACTGATTTTTACCCTAATGTTCTTAATAGATTCCTCCCAACAATTATATAAATATTACATAAATAGTAAAGCATATACTTCTTACATCGGCAGCCATCTTTCATTACCTTTTCATCAAGGGCTTTATGATGTTCAAATAAGGACTTTAGTGCTTTGAGAACTTCAACTTCACTAGAAACTCCTGCAGGAGACTGAGCTTGCCTCTTTACTACAGTCATTCTAAGAGATCGTTCATGCCGGGAGACAAGACATTCCAAATGTTCTAACAGCAACTGAAATACAATCAAAATTAAATGTTAGATTTTTTATGAGCAAATATCTTACTGATTCCTTATATAATTCTGTTGTGCTCTTTAAACATTAATGGCATTAAAGTAAATCTGCTACCCAGAATTTTGGTAGTTAAGCAAACATCTGTGCTCCAGATATGTTCCATCTTTTAAAAGAAGGAGCAAACCAAATGCAAAGGAAACAACTACTAGTTTGTAATTTTCAGATTGGATAATCTTCCTAGCGGTCTGTTCTCACATCTGTGAATGCCCTTAGTCCTGAATGATTAACTTTCTCCTCTGGGATAAGTATTCTACAAGGAATTATTTGCAAGGTTGAAAGGTTTTTCCCTCAGTACAAAACTATAATCTTAGAACTGCACTCTTGTCTTGAAACCTAGTTTGCTCCTTCTCTGAAATAACAGTGTCAGAAAAGTTAGAGGCACCTTGCCTTTCTCCCACTTACCATTTTTGTTTAGATCTCTCCCCCACTGTTCATATCCCACCATATGCTAGGTAGAGGTTCCAGATCCATGCTGGGTCAGTCTTAAAAAGGAGCAGTTAGAAGGATATATGCACTGTTTCAAAATCAACCTAAACATTATTTTATTAGCGCCAGTAAGAGCTGAGCATCACTACTGCATATAATTACAGCAAAGCTGCCCAAAATGACACTCAGTACAGAACTCAGCACTGGACATAAAACTCAGCATTGTGAGTATGTACAGAAAGTTCCTTCTCCGTTTCAGACTGCACTGCTGTAGCCCTGACTATGGACCTATAGTGCTTACTTCCAGAGTTAGAGATAAATTAATAGAAAGCTGTTCATGTGGCCCTGAATACCAGTGATACAGTGAAGGAAAGTATTTTTTAAAATCTTTCTTTAATTAAAGGATACGTAGTAAACCACGGTCTGTCCAATTGTGACACAGTGCCAAGTTCTGGTTTATGCAAAACAAATTTTGCCCCCAATCAAAACTGAAACCATACTGAACAATTAAAAGATGCATATTATCTCAATGGCGGAATTCTACTACCCAGCATTACATATGAATTGTCCCAGTGTAACTGAATATCTCGAGATGTGCTCGTATTTTCCACATTTTTATTTTCTCTGCAGAAGATGGTACATGCTACAAACATGCTTCCTGCTGTTAACTGTGTATGGCAGTAGTCCCCAACCTTGGGCCTCCAGATGTTCTTGCCACAACCCCCAGAAGCCTTCACCACCATCTCTGCTGGCCAGGATTTCTGGGGGTTGAAGTCCAAGAACCTCTGGAGGCCCAAGGTTGGGACCACCGGTGTATGGCATCGAAGAGGGCTCTTTATCTCCATTTTCTGTCCTCCGATTTTCCACTATAAACCATCCTATGCTGATTTTAGTAGTAGCATTCCATACAATATGCTGCACTCATGGCAGACAATACTGATTGCTTTTTTGACACAAGCACTCTGCAATATAGGCCAGATAAAAGACAGAGTTCATGAAAGTACCTGTATGAATCAGTGTCTAGTCTGTTTTTTTTTAAAGTGTTACATCCCACCTAATTACAAAAACAAAACAAGTCCCATCCCTAATATGGGCATGTTGGCTGCATAATCTCATTTTATCCAGGCACAGACCATTTATGACATGTAAGTGATCCATTTTGGAAAACCAGTAAAAATTCCCATTTTTTTCATTAATAAGTCTTTCCCTTGTGCAACTCTGGATCCAAACGGTCGTTTTTAAAATTTTAATTAAACCAATTAATAAATTATAAATTTATATACAATTTGCCTGTAATTATTGTTGCATTACTTGTTTAGTATAACACTTATCTGATTTTCAAAACAATACTACAACTGAAATAGTTGTATATATTTAGTTATCTATGTGTATGAAGTTGAGAATTGAATTCCTCATTGTGCCTTCTTGACAGGGCTGGACTCGACGATCCATAGGGCCTCTTCCAGTTCTGCAGTTCTAAGATTATTATTGTCATTTTTATTATCATTATTATTCATTATAGGTGTGTATGAAAAAGCTAACAATGTACCATCATTCAAATCTCATGGCATCATACTCAAAAATTTAACAGCATGGCTGAAGTTTCTGCTTATTCATTTCCTTCTTTAATATGAAAAGCAAGAGCACTGAAAAGACCACAAGGTAGTATTCTCAAAAGGTAATTCTCAAAAGGTAACTTTAGCTCATTTCACTTCAAAAACAAAAGAAAAGTATTTCTAATACAACAACACATACAAATAATATTGATAACGAACTAACCCTTGTGTTGTTTCTTTCAGCTTTCAGTTCTGCAATTTCCTCTTCCCTTTCAAGGAGTTGTTCTCTGCATACATTAAGCTCTTTAGTAAGTGCTGCAAACTCCTAAAATAGAAGCAAATAAAAATTAATTCATTATAAATATATCCAGTCATATTCATTACACAGAGACTAAAATAGAATTCTGACTGAAAGAAAGAGAACCTGCATTTTTATGCACAGGCAATGTTAGTGTCAGCAAATCTTATTATTTGCTTATCAGCTCAACATCATGAATAGTTTTCAAACTATTCTTTTTAAACTACTGTACTTTATTATCACTAATTTGTTAACATTTCCAATAGCAATGGTGGAAACACCAACAACGTTAATTTTTGAAAGTAATGGTTCGGAATAATAGGACAGGTCTGATATTTGTGATCAATCAAAACAGCATTATGTAAATCATTATTGATCGGAGAGAGCAGGAGAAACAAAAATTGGAACTTTCAATGAATTATTGAATCAGAACTGTCAGGTTTGAAAACTTGTCTGTTTAAGAGTGTTAGAAAAATTAAGAGGTGCAGGAAAATTTCCACTAAAGTGGAAGAATTTTTAAAATTTGCGACTTGAAAAGATAGTTTATACAAATCATTTCAAAACAAGTAGGCCGCTTCAGCAGATGAAGGTCAATGAAATGTTTAAAAAACTTGGCAACTGAATCAATGTTTTGAAAGTTGGAGATAAGATTATTGTAAATACCAATGTTGTGAATGAATGATTTGTAAACTGAGAAGTTTGCAAAGCTTATGATTTGTAAACTTAGGAAAAAGCTATTTTCAAATGTAGCTTGGAATGACAGGTGAATGTTTGAAAAAAAGGGGTTACCTACTCTTACCTAAAAAAAGAGGGGACATAGTGGCGCTGCGGGTTAAACCGCAGAAACCTCTCTGCTGCAAGGTCAGAAGACTTGCAGTCGTAAAATCGAATCCACACGACGGAGTGAGCTCCCGTCACTTGTCCCAGCTCCCGCCAACCTAGCGGTTCGAAAGCATGCAAAATGCGAGTAGATAAATAGGTACCACCACGGTGGGAAGGTAACAGGGTTCTGTGTCCTAGTAGCGCTGGCCATGTGACCAGGGAAGATTGTCTTTGGACAAATGCTAGCTCTATGGGTTGGAAACGGAGATGAGCACCGCCCCCTAGAGTTGACATGACTGGACAAACTGTCAAGGGGAAACTTTACCTTTACCTTACCTACCTGTAACTCTGGTTCTTCGAGTGATCATCTGTGAATTCACACTAATGGGTTAATCTGCACCTGCTCAGAGCAGCTTCAGAATCTTCTAGAGCTCAGGCACATGGTGCCGGGACCCCCCACGCTCTGGCTATAACCCCGCTCCGGCACCGAGTGCCTCAGTTCAATGGAACTGTCCGCTGCTGCGCAGCATGCCATATGGCACACGTTACGTACAGCGGGGAGGAAGGGCAGGGAGTGTGAATTCACAGATGACCACTCAAAGAACCAGAGTTACAGGCAGATAGCTTCTTTTTCTTATTTGTGGTCTCTGTGAATGCACACTAATGGGTGACTAGCAAACTGACCTACCAGGTGATGGCCATCATGAAGGATGCCAAGACAGCCCGTGAATATGTGTAGAGAAGAAACAGTCATGAATGAGGCATTCATCACAACATCACAGAACCACACCACTCTGGGTGGTGTCATCATGGATTTTCATCCATATATTTTAACTACCCAGGCTGGGTGAGCTTTTAGTATTATTTTCTCTGTGTGTCTAAATATGCTAATAAAGTGAATAATGTATTTTATTTTATTATATATTTTTAAAATATTTTGGTATTTTTAATATGTTTTTAATGTATTACTAAAGATAATACAAACATTCAACACATACAATAACTAGAAGGATAAATTAAACAGAAATAGACAAGCTGACGTAGCCTGGAACATTGAGAAGATTTATATTTTGATACTCAGAAGAATACTGATATGATTATCTGCAAATGTTTGGTTTCATTCTGAAATTAACCCTTCACTGGGATAAATGCCAGTTGCGACAATACCGGCTTCTGATTTTTCCCTGGAGGTCTATGGAGTTTCTGTAGGACTCTTAGAGAGTCAAGCACGTAATTTCTGGGTTTGACAAAAATCATATTTGGCAGAGTGATTATAGGCAACAGAAGCTAGATGTGTGTTCAATTTGGAGAAGGCTGGAAACAAACATTTACATTTCTAAATTATGTTTGTTTTTTAAATCTTCCCATCAGCAGTTATTTTCCAAATACCTATCTCTGCTTCCTGAAAAGAATATATGATTGAGGGAAGAGGATATGGGTGTTTCCAGTTATAACAGTATTACCTCTATTGATTCTGTGAATGGAAACTTCATCCTTTTCGCTGTATTCTTTTTCTTGTACTTATTGTCAATAATATCATCTATTTTATCATTGAAGAGGCCCTCAGTGTTGAACAGTAAATTCTCTATTCTAGACCTGAAATCATCAGTGATACTTTCAGACCATATCCAGGCACAGCATTTGAGATCTAGAGTGAATGTCTGAAATTGTGGATACAACAGAACCCTATATACATAACCCGGGGGGAAGGACAAAGGTCATAAGAGAGCACCCTTGTATGTTGTATTTAGGACTGTGGCAAACCATGGATAATTGAAACAGTGGATACCAATTCTGCAGATACCAGGGACCTACTATAACCTCCCAATCACTTAATAAGGGTTCTTCTTCCAGTAAACAAAACATTGTACTACTACTATCAGACTGTTAATGCATCCTCTCTGTGATATACATGCAAATGCACATCCAGTTTATGTCTGATTACTAGACCAGGGTTCCCCAATCCATGGTCTGTGATCTGGCAGCAGTCTGCGGCCTAGGCAGGACCAGGCCGTGGACATAGATCTCCTGCCCCCCATGAAAGCGCCCCCCATGTTACACGCATGCACACGAGTGTTCTTTGCCCCCTGTGAGCATGCTGTGCACATAGGTGAACAGCCGCCTGAGAGCACCACCACGTGCATGCATGCGAGTGCACTCCGCCCACTGCGAGCACCGCGTGTCTGTGCACTCCATCCCCCTGTGGGTGCACCACACTGCCACAAGCATGTCACGCACCCCCCAAACGGTCTATGGTTGGGAAAAGGTTGGAGATCACTGTACTAGACTACTATATGACAGCAAGGTTGAATTGGCTAAATTATAGCATTTAACCTTGCAATATTCTTAATTCCTAACATTCTTCCCTTGGATGTATGTGCCCTACAATAAAAATGAAGTAAACTAAAAATTTAGAATTACATGATTAGATATAATACTTATGGTAGAATCTAGAATATACTATCATATATTTGACTTCAATGGATTTAGCATGTGGGTGGAAATAATTTAACAACATTTCTTTAAAAGCTGGAGAGAATAATTCTCTCCCCCCCCCCCATTTTACTTACTGATATGTATATGAACATTTATAGCATCTATTTCAAACATGTATCATTGCTGCTTTCAAAAAGTTTTAAAATCACTGGAACATCAGTGGTATTCTCTAACTTAAGAATGTAGTTAAGAGGATAGACAGTTTCCAGACAGAAATGTTTTTCCTTGTTACACATTACCAGAAAACTACAGTACTACTAGAAGAATTTTCAATGAGTTTCCCACCCCAAATGACGCTATACTAGAGACAATAATCTATCTGGGGAGTACTTCATGCCAGATGAAAACAGAAGGACCATGTGTCATTCTACTGCTTGCAGATGCTTTACATGCTTTTCTTTAGTTAAACTAAAAATAAGCATATTCCTGGACATACCCAGATACCCCTTCCCACAAAGATTCCAGCCATGATTCATTGTTGTAACTATGTACTGTACTGTGCCAACAGCACACAAAGGAGCTAAGAAATACTGTACTACTAAAACAAATTAAGCAATAAAACCTTTTGATTTATCATAATCATCAAAACTATTTAAAAGGTCCAATTGAAAAGTCAGAATCATAGAATAATAGAGTTGGAAGGAGCCTGTAAGAACATTGAGTCCAACCCCCTGCTCAGCACAGGATCCAAATCAAAGACGTTCTGACAGATGGTTGTCCAATTATTTCTTGAATGTCTCCAGTGTTGGATCACTCATCACCTCCAAAGGTTCTACTGCTTTAATGGTTAAAGAGCTTTTCCTCCTGATATTCAGCCTAAATCTGGCTTCCTGTAGCTTGAGCCCATTATTGTGTGTCTCCTGCACTCTGGGATGATCGAGAAGAGATCCTGCCCCTCCTCTGCGACTACCTTTCAAAGTATTTAAAAACTGCCTCCGTTCAAGTCTTCTTTTCTCACGGCTAAATACACCCAGTTCTTTCAATCTTTCCTCATAGGGCTTGGTTACTAGTCCCCTGATCATTCTTGTTGCCCTTCTCTGAATTTGCTCCAGTTTGTTGCCATCCTTCTTGAAGTGTGGTGGCTAGAACTGGACACAGTACTCTAAATGAGGCCTAACTAGTGCTGAATAGCATCACAAAACAGTAGTACTTCATGGGATTCGAAGACTATATTTCTGCTAATGCATCCTAATATAGCAGGGGTCTCCAAATTATGGCCTGTGGGCCACATTTGGCCCACCTGCTCTTTTCATCTGGCCTGTGCGTTCATGCATGCAGGAATGCAAGTGGGTGGAAGTGTGTGCAGGTGGGCAGAAGTGTGGGCAGGTGCGTATGCACACATTCCTTCAGCCCTCAAACTTATATTATGTGGCTCTCCATGTGAAAAGTTTAGAGATCCTGGTAATATAGCATTTGCCTTTTTTGCAGCCACATCACACTGCTGGCTCATGTTCAATTTGTGATCTACAAATCCAAGATCCTCACACTTTTCCCAAAACCATCAAGGAAGTAAATGGCACTTGCAGAAGAGGTGACACAGAGGAAAATCATCTCCCAAATATATGTCAAGCAAGCTTCTATGGGTAATGATATTCTCAAACCTCTTGCCATCCAGAGAATTTCATTAAAACATAGTTTAAAAGTATTATAGTCATTTTGAGTTAATGCCATTATTTGACAACTGTTGCAGGGTACAAAGAAAAAGGTTG